TAAGGCGAGAAGGAGTATCAGCTCTTACTAACTAAAGGCTCTCCGTTTCTACTTCTAGGTACTCTTCGAGCCGGAGCCCCGGCAACGGACTCACTAATACCTAATATCATGGTCTACAAACGTATGATGACGTAAAACCACTATTACGCAAAAGGCTTCTAATTAATACAGGTATCCAATACCCACATTATTGAAACCTAATAAAGGCAATGCCACAAAGGAACAATAGGTCTACAAAGGGTACTCAGTAGTTACAACTTTTAAGTCTGGACATAACGACTGGTAACATTTGGTAGATTAATTATTGTATTTTTAGATACAATATTATAAGTACAACAATGACTATCGAAGTCCGTCATAACTTTAATGATCAATCCAAACATTGTGTTGTTAATATAATTGATTAATTGAATATTCTGTGGAAAATTAGGTAGGTACTAAGTAGTCTGGGCACCATATAAACCCAAAATCTTTGGTCCTGGTCGCGACGCAATGTCCTAAATCAATTTAATTTAGAAGTTAAATTCAATATCGCCCATCCAAGTCAATGTGCTAAAGTGTGACCAATTTTAACCTTACTATTACTAGCCCGAAGACAGTAAGTTTCGTGGAGTTTCACCCAGTGTCTCGAGGAACACATTAAGCTGTCGCTCGCGGCTGTCAAACCAACATCGGCGACAGGCCTTACAACTAGGTATCAGAAAGACCGAATATCTGACATAATGTAGCCATATTCCCAGGGTAAAATGTAGACGGGTCTGAACCAAGAATGTAGTTCATATTATCATCCTTAGCGAGTAGATGGTCGTCTTTTTATGTGAAGTATTGACAATTATAACATAGGATAACATTACGCCTTTTATCCCCGAAGGAGTAGAGGTGCACATTATGCCACTGTACAATGTAACACCGACTTTTTCACTATTTATGTTATGAGTCCCATGTAATAGGGGGTGAGCCTATTGCCATATACCGGCCACAATTCCAGACTCCGTGCTACTACTGAGATTTTTTTAAACAGTAATACTTTACCCGTCCCGGAAATCGAAGCCGAGACCCCTTGCCCGGCAGTCGCACTTGCGACCACTCGGCCAACGAGGCAGTCTTTTCAATTCATCATCAAACATATTAATATTGACAATTATATTTTTTTAATTCCGTACCAACCCACCCTAACTTGAATAGAGAAAAGGCTAAGTGAAAAAAAAGAAGGTGAGTACTAAGTTTAAAGCCTTGAGTAAAACTTTTCTGTATAGTCAGAAGAAAATATTTATGTCTAGGCGACGCGCGCCTATAACAACCTTATGTAGACTTTAGAAGAGAATAGAACTCTTTTAGACGATGATGATGTATCTAATCTCTCGACAGATAAATCTATCGATTCTGGGATCTGGATTTGTGTTCACATAAATGAATAAATAAATATTTTGTTAGTAAGTAAGTGCTTGTATAAATAAATTCGTATTTTTTCAAACCCGACTGCCTAATGCATCACACAATAGATTATTCCGTCTATCAATTGTACCCTGTTATTATGCAATTATACCCACTATGCATAGAGCATAGAGAGAATCTGAACTGTTTAAAAATGTTATAAAACTTTGCAGTCTCTTGACGTTTTTACAGTTTGTTGTATAAACGGGTTTTTATCATTAAGACAACTAAATCGAAATGACTACAGTGACATCACTTTCACATGATTGGCGTTTTATAAAACACGTGCGGAATTGTTTGATCCGACTGACCTAATGTATGTACAGCAACTAGTCTATAAGTCATTTGCTATTTGAAATCAGCATCTAATGTTGCAAATGCGAAATGGAATGTTTGAAATGTTTTACGAGCCTTTTTATAATGTTATGATTTTTTGCCTGGAGGTGGGTAGAAGGTTGTGGACCGATTGGCTACTTTTTCTCTTTGACGCGAACAAAGCCGCGGGCAAAAACCTAGAAATGTTATAAGAATATTTCCGACAGAGTCCGAGTCAAAACTGTGGCTACACTTGCCTAAAGGTACTAAACGTATACATAAGATTCTATAAGTTCGTAGCTTAGAATGTATCTTTTATTTTCATTAAGTAAATAAGAGTCCGTCCCTGCCATCAATATTCTTGTATCAAAGTGATATGAAAGTCTTATTGGAAAATACATAACCACGTCCACCGCAAATAATTAATATGAAAGCTGCATAATATTTCCATTTAATTGCTGAGAAAACTTTTCATAATCTTCCAAGTAGATTTTTTTATAAAACAAACACACATCAGGCATGATTAAAAATATCGTACTTTAATTAAAATCTAAGGAATTCAAGTAAAGAAAAATGTTAATAAAGTATCTGCATAATTACTTTGCTTATAGAGGAAAGTAAATTATTTTTGGAACGGAAATAAAGCGTGTGTTTGAAGTAGTATCGAGAAGTGGAAATATTAGAAAACCTATTTTTGTTAGCTTCGAAGTTAGTCATAATTCATTAGCAGTAGAGTCTGGACTAGTTCGTTATCCCCTTTTCACTTAACGGACACTTATCGGAAATATCTAATTTGTTGGCTAAAAATGACTTAGCAGCCGTTGAATACCTACTCATATCTCCATTAACATTTTCACAGCCTTTCTAGCCTAACGAGCTGATTATTCGAAAAATTCCATACCGCTTCGGGCGTCGGCGATGAATTTCAACAATTCAGTAAGTGCAGTAAAGGGCTTAAATTATTTTTAAATACATATGTGTACGTATATAGACGAAGAAGTAATGTAATACATTGTAGTTTCAATAGAGGATTGCCTTCTTTAAATGAGATATTTTCTGTGTGAGTAGGTAATGTAAATGGAGTAGGTATCCTACATTTGCTGCACTTCGCTGGACATTAAATGAAATCGATAAATGCAATTGCATTAGTTCGCAATAAACCCTGGTTGAAGGAGTATAGTGAACTGAAACATTAGTTTCATTAGATACTTTTAAGAAGGAATTATATATAAAACTAGGGACCCGTCTTGGTTTTGTTTCGGTAGGTCCTTCACTTCTCGCTGAATTTTATAATTATTCCAATTCGCATAAAGGCATTATCCAATTTGGTGCAGCTATTTAAGATGTTAATGCGCACATATATTTTGGAGCTCTATTTTTATTTACACATCAAGATAATTATGTTAATTATTATTTTGTACTTTTAATATTATTTACTACAATGTTTGAAAGGCATAAATAAATTAATGAAACAACATACAAGTAGTGATAAACTTTAACCAATATTATAATTATCCTTCCCGAAGTCAGTTTAATTTTATTTACCTTCGCTGAAAATATTGTTTAAAAAAGTATATCAAAAATATTTCGATAAAAAATGCAACGAATTTTAGGTGTAATTCAGTTAAAAACGACGGTCAATTTATAAAGTTTCGTTTTGGGAAATTGAGTTCAAAAATGATATTTTAAATCAGGCTGCAGGCTTCTAGAGTACCTACACTGTTCAAAAGTTGTTGTAATTTTTTAATTTTTTTTCTTTGTGATGTTGAACATGGTAGTCGCATAGGACCTTGGGCTCTTTTTTACTTATTTATATTACCTGCCAACTGTCTGGTTTGAAAAATAAATTATTTTATAAAATAATTTAATATTGGAGCAATTTGATTTGGAGAATCTGTTAATGTTACGGCCACAGAACATTATAAAGGAGGATACGGCAATGACCACAGAGCCCATTACGGGTATAAAAAGTGACGTCTGCAAACTGCAGACTATAATTTATAAATCATTGATTTTTACACTAAAGTGGAAAAAATAGTAAATGGGTCTTAACACGTTTTAGCCAGCCTATAAGTGACACCTAACCGTACAAGTAAGGGATTAATTTTAGTGGTAAATCAGACTAAGTAACTTTTAGTTAAGGGTTAATTGAGGAAAACAACCAAATTGCAATCAAATTCTCTCGATAGCTTTTGCGTAAAAAAGTATAGATTTTTGTAAAGGCCCCACGATGTAACGGCGCGGCGTCGGCGGCGATCGCTACACAAAAGCTACGAAGAAACTTCGTAGGCATTTCGTAGACTTTTTAAAAACACATTACTATTGTAAAGAACCTACAGACCCTACATTCCATGTATGATAATAATATTTTTTGTTGTATTCATAATAACAGAGATGTCTTGTGTACGACGTTTTCGAACGTTTTGGTTCCAGAATAAACCGGTTCGAATCCTATAGGTGTCCACAGGATTATTTTTTATAACTTGTGATACCGAACACTGGTAGGACTATTACATAGTAGGTAGTTTAATGATTATATTATTCCCTATTAATCATAACAAAATATATAAAAAATCATTGAAATCAGTACTAGCTGATGGAGTTGCGCATACACTCGGGGGCGTGCTGTGGGCCAACGCCCTTCAAAATCAGGTCTTTGCAATAAACCTCTAACAAAATTAACAATATTCATATTTATTTTTAAACGACAAAAAATAAATCAGTAGGTAATCCATGATTTCCACACAAATTAACTTATCTGTAAAAACTTTACCTCTAATTTAATTACAAAGTATACATTTTTTGCGCGTTTATACAAATTAGTTTTATGATTAAATGCAATGAAATAAATGTCAGACGCTACCCACTCAGTATCCGTTTGGTTCAAAGAGTAGGGAGAGTGATAAAAGCTTCTGCGGAACTTTCTTATCAAACTACGTACTGTAGGTACTCGGATTGAGGTATGTGCTCATGTCTATCAATTATATTAATTAGAGCGTGAGTGTTTGTCTTTTTTATTTATTTCTAACTCAGAAATTATCGCTAAGCGTTGCCTTGGGATTTAGTTTTAGATTAGAGCTTTGAAATAGCTGAAACAGATGCTTTCGCAACAATAACATTTCGCGATCGCCCGAGCTCGCGGCCGCTGCTATGAATCTCACACTTATTTATAAAGCCATAGTAACAACACGCTATTTATAAACTAGCAGGGAAACTTGCTGAACTTAACAATAATTGAATTGAATACTTACAGACTGTGGGTATCGGCTGCCGGCTTTGGGACCGTCGAAAGGTCCTGGTGTAGACACGCGACCTTGCTACGAAAGCATTGGCACCTGGCCGGGCAGTGTTTCGATAAAGTTAAAGAAAAAAAGTTGAAAAGTAATAAAAACTTAAAAAATATAATGGGTCTCATTTTCAAATTAAAATAAAGTAATTAAAAATTTTAGTTTAAAGAATTTAAAAGTGTTGGAAAAGTCCGCGCGCGGTATGGCAGTGGTCGCGAGCAGCAGGATGCGAGTGCACCGTGCAGACCGTCGACTTGCGGAGCGGCGACTGGCGGCTGTCGCCGGATAGTGTGGCGAGGCGGGCTAGCGGGATGCGATGCGATCACGGTGTCGAGTCCCGCACCTCGCTGAAGCGCTCCACGCGGATTGCGTTTCCCGACCAACCAAGCGATGCGCTGACCGCTGAGGGACGCCTGGCACAGCCGACTTGCATATCTAAACTTACAGTGCTTAGTAAAAAAAATACGATTTCTTATGTATTATATTTAAACATAACTGCATAGTATAAATATTAAGGATTACATTCATAGATTATTATTTTGTAGGAATTAAACAAAATCACTAAATTAATCATCCTGTTTAAAATTTGATTGGGACGACTTTTCATCTATCTAAATATATATATATATATATATAGGTATTAATAGCTTGTGCCAGCGGTTTCGCCCGTGTTCCGAGGGGTAAAAAGTCTATATGTTACTCCACACCATAATTTACCTCTGTTCTAAATTTTACCAAAGACCTTTCAGCCGTTTTGAAGTGATTGCACATTTACAAACACAAAAAATTTATAATAGCGATTCAAGCTAATTTCGACCCTACAGTTACGGCTTAACATCCATTGTGGGTAACCTAACATTTGACAAACTTATATTTGCGATTAATACAGTAATCCTGTCCAGGGATCGAGCCGCAAAATTAAGTTGGTTTATTAGTGTATACCCTTTTTCGGGATAAACTGTACCACACTAGGTACTGCTCTAGGTAAAAGTATGTATAATTTAAGCTGTAGATTTGGTTTTAGTGACTGTTAACTAGTTATATTATTATGTTACAACGTGTTTGTTTACGAGGTACTTACGTTAAGATTTAGGGAATTCCACATTAACGTAAGTCATGTAATCTCTCTTTGATGTCATAGAGTAAGAATTTATTCCTAAACTAGTAGTTGGCCGCGACTTCATTTACGTGTGTAAATTCTTTGTCTCTGTAGGTACTATATAATTTTTAATTTAGTAAGTTACTGGGTATAGTCAATTTAGATCGTAATTGATCCCAAATAATGGAAACTAAAAAGGTCGTGGTGGCCCGGAGTTAAGCCCGCTCCTCAAGAATATGAGTTTACAGTTTCGAAACCTGGCAATTGTACCAAACTGTGAAACTTTTGCCGAGTTATATGTACTTTCTAAGGTTTTTAAACACCACTGACTTCAGGTGAATGTAAATAACGTGAGGTAGTCAATCCTTTCTGCTTCTAATCAAGCTCCTTCTCCATCCGAAAAGAGCCTTTTCTCAGCAATTCAGTGGGGCAGTTGCAGACTCATGACGATCAATCGAAACTAATACGAAAGTAAGTTTATTTATTTATACCTATGTTAGAAACTTAATCAGTTAATTAATATTCTATAAGGTTTGGATAGGTACATGCAGAAATAGGCTAATTTAAGTTAGTACCACTGATAAAACCAGCTTCCATATTTTTGTAAAATTCATACATAAAATTGTACACGTACAATATTATTCGTATATCATCTATCAGAAATAAAACCTTTAACAAAAAATTTAAAAACATTAAGTCCTTACAAAATTTTCGGCCATCAAAAAATAATATAATAAGTTAGGAATGGAAGCTATGAATTACGAATGCAAAAAGATGACGCGGGCAGCCTTTGCCCTCGGACCTAGACTTTTGTTTCTTTTTTAGTGTCTCCAGAACTTTATTTAAGAGACTTGATTGTATTAGATTATTTGCTAATACATATGGATTATAGAGTAATAATGTACCAAAATGTTAACTAATGATTGGTGGTGAAGTTTGGTAAAATAATTACTTAGGTGTGTATTTATTTATTATTAACACTGTGTTTGTGTATTCGTAACATTAATAGTGAACAGTGGGTGTTACATTGTACAGAGGCATAATGTGCACCTCTGCCTACCCCTTCGGGGATAATGGGCGTGATGTTATGTTATATTATGTTTTTGTGTATTTTTTATGGGATAAACCGATAAACAAGCAGGTGGATCACCCGATGGTGAGCAATCGGCTTCGCGGGCGTCGCCCATGGATACTTGGAACACCATAGGCGTTACATACAATCGCGTTACCGGCCTTTTGGTATTAGGAATTTTAGGAATGTTGGCGATTCAGGGATTAGGAAAGGGGGAGGGGTAATTGGGCCTCCGGTAACATCACTCACTCGACGAAACACAGCGCAATCGTTGTTTCACGTCGGTCTTCTGTGAGGCCGTGGTATCACTCCTGTCGAACCGGCCCATTCGTGCCGAAGCTTGGCTCTCCCACACACGGTTGTGTGTGTTTTCGTACTATGTGCATAATTGAATTGTGTTAACAAGGTCTTTAATCAAGTAGTCGGAAGGACTGCGGAGCTAGCAGATTTTTTATCCAGAGGATTTCTGATTCCCAGGTCGCACAAAGTTATTGTTGTGGGGTGATCTCACCCTGTCAGCGTGACTTTAAATTAGAAAAAAAAATATTGTTATTAATAAAAATATTACTGAAACATTGGAAATATGGGGGGTGTGTTTGCAATACATAGATACACAGACACGAAACAAAAACAATGTGAATTAGGTAAGCTTAAACCATGCATCGCTTCATAGGTGAATCGAACCAGACACACATTTAGTCACCAAGGCACTGCACTCACCATGCTATCATTTCCGTTGTCACTGCCTTTATTTCTATGTAAAGAAACTTTTGCTTGTCATATATCCCTATATGTCATATACCTAATAATCGAATCCTGTCCCACTCCGCTGTCCCACATATTCTACAGTTGCAACAACTATACAATAATAAAACAAGCAGCAAAATGTAGGAACCTAGATTATTATACAAAATATGCGTCGAATAACAGAATTGTAGTTTAAATATAAATAAACAGCGGGTAACAAAACTTATTTTGTCGTAGTTTCAATAAGCTAGAGAGGCGGTGTGCCGGTACTTAACAGAATGTTGCGACGGAGCAGCACAACTAACTTTATATGCTGTTATTTCGCGAATCCCATTCATTAAATTTAATTAAATTCAGTTTTTTATGAAAGTCTATAATTTTCATACATTATGAGGTTCGAAAGAATACGAGAGAATATATTTAGTAGCAAAGTATTTATGTGTAACGTTTGTTTAAAACGAAAGTACCTACCTAATTATAATTACTGGATTTTTTAAAACTTTGTCAGTAAGTATTAGTACTTAATTGAGTCCGGTATATGGCCATGGGCTCGCCCCCTATTATTTGGGACTCATAAATTAAAATGGTGGAAACTGGGTGTTACATTCTACAGTGGAATGAAGGGCCGTAATTTGCACCTCTATCTACCCCTTCGGGGATAAAAGGCGTGATGTTAAGCTATAATAGCCCCATGAACGAATATAAAGCTATTAAAAGTGATGTTTGTTTTTGTGAAAGTCTATATTACTATTAACTAACGACCTGCCCCGGCTTCACACGGGTGCAATATGCATGTATGATATTATAAACCTACCTTAAGAATTTATCCACACTATCTATTAAAAAAAGCATCAAAATCTGTTGCGTAGATTTAAAGATCTAAGCATACATAGGGACAGACAGACGGCGGGTGGCGACTTTGTTTTATGCTGTAGTGATTTATTGTGTTTTTTCTTCGTCTTTAGTTTTGTAACTATTTGATTTATTTTTAATTGTAATAATGTAATTGGTATAAAACCATATTGACTTATTAAATCCTTACTAATATTATAAATCGGAAAGTGAGTTTGTTTGTTTGTTCCACTATCACGCCGTAACTACTAAACCGATTGCTTTGAATTTTTGCAGACGTGAAGTTAGAAGTCTGGATTAAATAATAGGGTACTTTTATCCTGGAAAAATTGATATTATCGAGGAAAACCGAAATTATTGGTATAGATGGCGCTGTGTGTATTGGTATGTGTCACATAGGCTGCTTTTTATCCTTTTGTGACGCGAGCGAAGCCGCGGGTAAAAGCTAGTAAATAAATAAATAGGTAATAATTATTCTTAAGAATTGATTAATATAATCTTTGGGATGACCTACTGCGTGCGTACATAAGCTTAAACGGGCCGTGCCAATCAAATATCTTTAGTATTCACAGCCCAGAGGCTGTTACACAGATGTAACCTAATGAAATTGATACGAAGAACATGCAAAGCTGTACTCTACTGCACCTTCATGGTAACATAACGGCCCGATCACTTTTGTCAATAGACGACTAGTCCTATCATCTCCAGAGTCGGCCGTACCTCAGAGAGCTCGCAGTTTTAGGCTTGGCTAACCCTACTTCTAATTACTTAGCACAGATAGGAATGGTTGTTCAGAACTCAGGTAATATGAAAGCTATTTCGTATGGAACAAGAATCACAAAAAACATTTTCATGTAAAATGTTGCCAAGTTGAGACCAAATATATAACAGACTAGCAGACTAGATACATGCTCAGCCAAAAAAAAACAATTTTAGTCTTCCGTTGGGATGAAATATTACGTAGTTCGTAGCGCGTAGTTCGTAGCGCGCGCGCATGCAATACATCTTTCCGGTCCTTTTATTACTACAAAATCGTATGTAATAAACATTGAATAGATTTTAAATTCATAATGACAAATTGCAAAAAGGCTATGTTTGTTATGCATTTCGACTAAGGTGTTTGTCAACTCTTTCCGTTGCGGCCGACTCGCTAATTTAGGTCACGATTTGCTGCTACGAACTTCGAACTACGCGCTACGGACTACGCGTTAGGAGATTTTCACCATAAAAATTAAGACTTTATATATAACATTTAGGGAATGTAGGGTTAGAAACTTGACTTTAGATGATTTAGTAATAACTTTTTGACGGCACGAGCCATAAAGTACTGTCTTGGCAACATTTATATTAAAATGTGT